TGTTTTAAAAATTGGGCCAAAATTAACAATTTCCGATCACTTTAATTTGTAGTTGAAACAGTTGACTTGGCGATTTCTTGTGCTCAATCGATCGAATAGAAGTAATACTAGTGAAATAGTTAAGAATTTGGTCGACTGGAATAACGTAATTGGCCTAAAATGGGAGTCAAATGTCGGCAAAAATCGCCGATTCGTAAATATCGCTGACACATCAAAATTCGCGAGAGGCATAATTTCGTCAATTTTTCCATCAAATTGTACTTTTTGTTCGGGTTACCTTCACAAAAAGATTCTCTACCATTTCATAAGAAAAAATAAAAAAAAATTTTTTTGAAAATTCTTGGACACTGGGAAACCACTTCAGATTTTGGCCTTGGACCCTGAAAGGGTTAAGATGTGTGTTTGCGACACGTTCATAAATTACCACACCCTCAAACATATGCTTGAAAACTTTGTAAATGCTGCAGAGTACGTACATTCCTAATTTAAAAATATTGTATTACCGATTTGATGAAATAAAATTGTATAAACAGTGCAAGGCATGATTTCACCACTAACAAAGATTAGACTTTGATTTATCAAGCTTCAACAAAGGCAAAAATTATATTTCCCAAATTTTTTTTTGTAGTTGCTGTGTGTAGGGGGAACTCCGATTTTCGTACTTAATCCATTCCAAAAGGTCGTTCTAAATCCGAAATGTACAAAAACCAAATTAATATTTCCCATGAGAAATACTGTAAATACAATTAATCCATTCCAGACATCCAAATATATTAACAAATAGTTTTACATACAGAAAACAATGAAGAATAAAAAATAAACGATTAATTTTAAGGGAGGGGCGAGTGAAATAATTTTTTTTGGGGGTCCAATTTCAGTGAGATTTTGACAGTGGATTAAGCAGCATAAAAAAACATAGATTGTGTTTGTTTTGACTATTAGCCTTGAAGTAGAAAAAATAAATTTACACAATTTCAAGAGTCCTAAAAACTTTCCTTGTTCTACTTTAAAATTTTGAAGATGTACAATGCTCTGTTAACATCAGATGAAAGATAAAGGCTAGATTATTGTTGACCCAGGGTGTTTCAGCAATAATGTCAGTAGATTCCATAAAAAAATGTTGTAGTTTTTTTTTTTTTTTTTGTGGAGAAAAAAATCATTAACAAAAAGCTGTAAAGAACATTGTAAATCCTCCCTTGGGTGTCTGTAGAACCATCATTCCTCAATGTGTGAAAAAATCATGACAATCCAATGAATACTTATCGCAGAAAAAGGATCACAATGTCAATAATTTATTACCAATTTTTTTTTTTTTTATTTTGTTTTGGTGTGAAACTCTACAGAAGTGGCGTGCCAAATCTCAGCGTGCTACATCCCTCCGACCTTCTTTACAGCCTCCAGGCTACTAAGGGACTCACTCACTGCACTCCACATTCTAGCCAGAACAGAAATTGCCATGTAGAGTATTTAGAATGAAATAATCATAAAAATTTTAATTTTTGGAGAAAAAAAAAAAAAACGCTAATTGCCAACATGTATTTTTGCTGACAGCAAGAACAAAAAAAATTACACTTAATGAAAAAAAATACTTAGAAATATGATAGAAACAGGCTGATTTATATCGAAATGTTGCCAGAATTTTGCACTATTTTTCAGTACGAAAACATTTTTTCCATAATTTTTCAATCTTAATTTCCAGATCACTGAAAAAAGCTTCGCCCCTCCTTAATGATAAATGAACATTACATAGCTTTATTGAAGACTAGTTGGCGTATTGAAGAGGGCAAGGTTGTGAGGGGGAATGAGGTTATTGTTTGGAAATGGAATCCCCCTCCATAAGGACTTCAGTTATCAAAGCCCTCTCTGGGGTTACTTCCCTTCTTTGTCTTTTACTGCCTTGCCTTTCACAAATGATCGACTCCACAACACTATCTCCCGCTGTTTCTCATTGATCCACACCAATAACTCCTACACATTTTCGATTGTTTGTGATCTCTGTTTCATTAGCACATTTACCTCTTTCGCAACTTCAGCTTCCTTGATTTCTACTTTCTTTGCCAGGATGGAACAGATTGCTGACTTCGACTTCCCATACATCCTGGCAAGCTCGGCTAAACGTATGCCACACCATAATCGTATTTTTTCTACAATCTCTTTCCTGAATTCTATCATGTTTCTCACCTTTACCAGAGGGCTGGCACAAGGAACTTTCTTTGGGCCCATGCTGTCTTATATAGCAGTTGCAATCAATAAACAAGCACAAAAAATTGCAAAATGTTTCAGATGAATGATCACTCAACCAGTATGGAGCCAGACTGACACGTGTGGTGGCATCCCGGGTGGGTGGATGTGTCTGATATGTATGATTTCCGGATGAGGGTATGAAATCCAGACCAAAATTTCGCTCAAAAGAGTTTTCTAAATCCGAATTGCATGATATGCAGACCATACGAAAACCGGTGTTTGTTTAACCCTTTCAGGGTTCACAGGCCCTCTCAGAGACTTGTTCTCAGGGTCCCCAAATTTCAAAAAAAAAAAAAAAAAAAATTATTTTTTTCTTAAGAAAAGATAAGAGAATCTTTCCCGATCATAATGACACCAAAAGTATGAAATTTGATGGAAAACTTAAGGAATTATGCTCTCGTGAAGTTAGCGGTCTCAACGACGTTTACGCATCGGCGATTTTGCCACTTTGAGCCTATTTTTGGCCAATTCCAATGTACTAGTCGACAAAAATCATAACTATTTCGCTCAACTCCATTTTTTCTATCGAATGAGTACGAGAAACCACCAATTTACCGATTTCAACTATCCAATCCAGTGGTCAGAATTTAGCAATTTTGCCAATTTCACACAAATTTCAAGATGCCAATTTCCAAATAGGGTCCAGAATAAACAAGACATTCCAAGCACTAAAATAACATTTCCTCTGTTCATTAGTCACGTCCCCAGGCCCCTCTTACATTTCTTTTGCTTTCCACTTCAAATTTTTATTCTCACAAAAAACAGAAGATTTAATGTTATGCAGACTACTGCATTAGTGTAGAAATGGTATAAATAATATCGGCGCACTTGTGAAAGAATATTGGACTCACCAGTTGACGTGTATTGGACGCTTAGCATGATTTGTTTACTTTTGAACTTTGGTAAAAAATCAAACATTTCTGCTACTTTGAGCTCAATTTCAAGGTACTTTTCATTGTAAAACCAGTCAAAATCATCTCAATTTCTGTAATATGTCTTCCATTCTATACAATTTAGACCAGGAAAACTAGAATAAAATAAAATACCATTCCGAAAATATAGAGCAAAGTCGCTGTTTTAATCCAAAAACACGGTCAAAGTTTTTTTTTCTCATTACGCATGTGTGCTGCAGGATTTTTTTTATACCGCGTGCACTGACCACATAGACCCATTCTTTCATATGTAGGCCTACCAGCTTTCTCTCACCAGGTTGAAGGCGCTAGAATTTATGAGTACGTACTAGTACGTCATGGACCCTGGTGCATAAGCCGTCCTAGTATGGCCAAAACCCTGAAAGGGTTAATTTTGATAGGCTACATTTATTTTTAAATTGCCTACGGTTAAAAGTTTATTCTAAGTTTTTTTTAACGGATCTTAGGTTAAAAGTTAAATGTCCGATAAAAAAAAGTTGGAGCATAAACTCTTAAGAGGAAGAGGTGAAGAGATGGTACAGGAGCACGAAATAAAAAAATATCAGTTTTATGCAAGAAATAATTGTGTAAGAGGAGCACTGCAGTAGGCTCACAGGCCAATGAAAGGTCATTCACACTCGGAGTTACTAGCATCTAATTGAGGAGACAATTCACAGGTGCTTTTATCCATACACAAGACTCGACACCTAGAAGGAAAATGCCTCAATAAATATCCTAGTACAGTGGTGCCTCAAGTTTCGGCCATAATTCGTACCAGAAGGCTGCTCGAGTGCCATTACCGAAGGAATTTGTTCCCATAAGGAAAAATGTAAATTAGATTAGTCCCTTTCAGATCCCCAAAAATACACTCACAAAAGCACTTACATAATTGTTCGAGTTGGGGGATGTTCAAAACTTGGGGTACCACTGTACCACTCTTGTCTCACAGTACACACCTGTACATGTCAGTATGTATTTAATACCATCACTTACCTAGTCCCTCGTGTATAACATAAAACTGTTTCAAAAGCAACTCAGTACATTGGCTTTCACTATGCTACCTGGCAGTTAATTACTGTGAACCTAGTGCTTGCCTTTATTCTTTATAATTGAGAGAGTTTGCCTAACCTAAATCAAGTTTAAGTTCTTCTGTCTAAACTCTTCTTTTTACTACTGGTAACTTTACTATTAAACAAACTAGATGCCTGCATGACTACAAAAGCAATCAACTATGAAGCTGCATGACAATTTCCAAGTACAGTACAGTACTGAAATTCAGCTTGTGCAAGTCTTAATTAAATAAATGCAAGCTGGATACGTACACTTACAGTGGAAAATGGTTTCTTGACATTCCTCTTTTAAGGAGATGAGAATGATTACCTCTTATGATCTGCCAGCACAAATCTGCAGACATCTTGGCTTCTCTCCTGTAAATGTTGAATAAATATTAACCCAAATGTCTGTTCCAGTATATGTCCTCTATATCTACACATTGAACATAAGAATATAAGAACACAAGAAAGAAGGAACAACTGCAGCAGGCCTACTGGCCCATGCGAGGCAGGTCCAAGTCTCCTAAAGGCTTAAGCCAATGCCCCAACCTAGTCAGGGCAGGTCAATTCACTTAAGGAAGGAACACGACAACTGACCTAGTAGCACAAGCTAATCAGGTCCAACTCTCACCCACCCACACCACTCATGTATTTATCTAACCTATTTTTAAAACTACACAATGTTTTAGCCTCAATAACTGTACTTGGGAGTTTGTTCCACTCATCCACAACTCTATTACCAAACCAGTGCTTTCCTATATCCTTCCTGAATCTGAATTTTTCCAACTTAAAACCATTGCTACGAGTCCTGTCTAGGCTAGATATTTTCAGCACGTTATTTACATCCCTTTATTTATTCCTGTCTTCCATTTATACCCTCAATCATATCCCCCCTAATTCTACGCCTTTCTAGAGAGTGCAGATTCAGGGACCTCAGTCTATCCTCATAGGGAAGATTTCTGATACATGGGATCAACTTCGTCATCCTCCTTTGTATGTTTTCCAGAGCATTTATATCCATTCTATAATACAGTGACCAAAACTGTGCAGCATAATCTAAATGAGGTCTAACCAAGGATATATAGAGTTGAAGAACAACCTGAGGACTCCTATTATTTATGCTTCTTGATATGAAGCCAAGGCTTCTGTTAGCTTTATTGCGAACACTTATGCACTGTTGTCTTGGTTTAGATTACTGCTAACCAGAACTCCTAAATCTTTTTCGCAATCCGTAATATTAAGTCTACATTATTTAGTTTATATGTGGCATGGTTGTTTTCCTGTCCAACATTTAGAACTTTGCATTTGTCTATATTAAACTGCATCTGCTACTTCTCCGACCACTGCATCAGTCTATTCAAATCTTCCTGGAGTGCTCTAATGTCCTCGTCAGAATGAATTCGACGGCCTATTTTGCTGTCATCAGCACTTGCTTATGTCGCTCTTTATGCCCTCATCAATGTCGTTTATGTAGATTGTGAACAACAGGGAGCCCAACACTGACCCCTGTGGAACACCGCTCGTGATGCTTCCCCACTTGATTTCCCCACTTATGCAAACTCTCTGCTGCGTATTTGTCAACCATGCTCTATCCAGGAAAAAATTTGTCCTCCTATGTGCCTTAATTTTCCTCAATAGTCTTGATGTGGGACCCTGTCAAAAGCCTTACTGAAGTCCATATACACAATATCATATTCATTACCATGATCTACCTCCTCAAATACCTTAGTTTAAAAAGTTAATAAATTCCTAAGGCAGGAACGCCCTTTGTAAAACCATGCTGAGATTCGTTGATTAATTTGTGCTTTCAAGGTGGCTACGAACTGCCTCGGCAATTATCGATTCCATAAATTTTCCCACTATGGAGGTTAGGCTTATCGGTCTACAGTTCGAAGCTAAAGACCTGTCACCTGCTTTGAAAATAGGTATCAAATTTGCCATTTTCCACTTATCTGGCACCATGCCAGTCTGTAGTGATATATTGAAAAGATTAGCCAGAGGTTTGCTAAGCTCCTCTTTACATTCCTTTAGAACCCTTGCATACAGTTCATCAGGGCTGGGGATTTAAGTTTTAATTATAAATTTGCCAAAGAACCATGTCACTTGTGCCCCTAATCGTGCTAGTTTATATCATCCTGTTCTAATAATTTTTTAAATTTCGGGAAATTATCCTAGTATCTTCCGAGAAAAAAACTGAGAGGAAGTAGTTTTAAAAAAATTTACACATTTTTTTTTCCCCTGTCTGTGAGTGACCTGAATAACTTTTGGGGGGGGGCCCTAATTCATGGGGGAACATACAAGGCTAAAAAACAAAGGAGCACAATAACGGGCATATTGGCACATGTTTTGCGGACTTATTCTCCCCCATCTACTCAAATAAGAACGGGCATAAACCCAAACCCGACCACCCCCTCCCCTTTTGCTTTTAGTCTACCCTATGAAAGTTAAAATTATTATTGATAATTTATGCTTGTACAAAGGAAAAAATAAAGGGCCCCCATATAAAGGGGGCCTCCAAAAACCTTCAATATTAATGTTTTCATTTTACAGAGGACCCCCGCTCCCGGAAACCCCTTTTGCATAAGGGGAAAATTCCGCATCCCGGGAAACCCCTTGCTTTAACGGAAAAACCCGCTTTCCCGGGACGTTTTGATCGCAAAAATTTTTGCCTCCCCATACCCCCCAAAAAAAACCCGCTCAGCCCCCTTTTCGCCCAAGACGGGTCCCAATGTGGGGCCTGGGGCCCCCGCTCCTTTGTTCCGCCGGTGGAAATTGTTTACAGCCAGCCTCCGCGGAAAACCCCAAAGCTTTTAAAACCCGGAAAAAATTTTCGTTTTTATTACAGTTTTTTTTGGTGTTTTTTTTGGGGGGAAATTTAGTGACCAGGGGCCCCAAAGAAAGCTTCTAGTGCCAACCCTACAGAAATAAGGGTGAAAATTACTATGGAATGAAGAAAAAAAATCATTGAAAAGTATGAAAGGGGAAAGTGCGGGTCTCCAAGCGGGCCGGGTTTTGTATAAAAAAACCCAAAATCAACCATCGTACTATTGGGGGGTACAGCTGTGCTGCTGTTTGTACCACCGTCAGCTGCTGTGCTGTAAACGTCAGCTGCTGCTGCTGTACCCCCCTCAGCTGCTGCTGCTTTTTACCACCAAAAAGCGCCCCCTTGCGGGCTGTAGTACCGTCCTTGCTGCTGCGTGCTCGTCTGCTGCTGTTTGTAGCATCGTCTGCTGTGATGTAGCATCGCCCTGCTGTGCTGTACCCATCGTCTGCTCCCTGTGTAGCATCTTTCTGCTGCGGGTTTTGGTAGCGTCGTCTCCCTGTTTCTTTTGGCGTCGTTGCTGTTTGCTGTAGCATCGTCTGCTGCTGCTTTTAGCATCGTTTGCTGCTGCTGCAGCATCGTCTGTTGTTTCCCTGTACCCCCCGTAAGCTGTTTGTTGCTGCTGTAGCATTTTCTGCTGCTGTGCTGCTGAGCATGGGCTGCTGCTGCTGTAGCATCGTCTGCTGCTGCTGTAGTTTCGCTTTTGCTGCTGTAGCATCGTTTTGTTGCTGTACCACCGTCGGGCTGTCTGCTGCTGTAGCATCGTCTGGGGTGCTGCTGCTGCTGTGAATGTTGCGGCTGCGGAAACACGTCATTTGGGCTGTTGTAGCATGTTGCTGCTGCGGTAGCATGTCTTTTCCCCCTTTTGTGCTTCTTTCTTTTTGCTGCTGTACCCCCGTCAGCTGCTGCTGTGCTTTTGCCCGTTTTTGGGTGGGGCTTTTTGGAAAAATCCCAAGAAACAATTAACCCCAGGGATTTCCCCACCCAGGATACCCAAAAAATTCAGTTTTCATAAAAGACGTCTAACTTATTTCCATTGGGGCCCTTAATTTTTGTCTCCCAGGATGAAACCCCCAAACCAGTGAAAAAACCCCCAAAAGGGTGAACAGGGAAAAATCCCTGGAACTGTGTTTCATATTGGTAAATTTTAGGCCAGAAAAGGTTGGGTTTTGAGGTTTTAAGAATCGTGTAAAATTTCACAGTTTTGTTTAAGGCCGTTCGGAAGAAAATCCCAAAAACAGGCCTACAGTATCGGGGGAAAAAAAGGCACTCCCAGGACACAGTGTTCATCAGCCCATTGCTGTTTTAAAAAAAAGGGTTTAAATTTGTCTTTATTCTTCATTTAGTAGAGTAGTACATGCAAAATATATATTGTGCAGGTAATACTCAAATATTGTGCATGTATCCTTCTCTTTGTGTGTGGGAAAAAATGTTTTTTCATGGGGGAAAAAATTTTTTTTTCATTTTTATGGGTGTCTTGCAGGGGTTTAAATTTTGATTTCCTTATTTTAGGGGGAAAAAATTCCCATTCCCCATCCCGAAAAATTTGGTTATAACAGCCCCCCTTTGCACGGTTTAAAGGTCGCTATGCGGGGGTCCTGTAGTACTTTATACAGGAAGAAAAAAAAACGGCCCGGGGGAAAGGGCAAAAATCGAACCCAAATCCGGGTCATTCCTGGAGGGGAAAAATCACAGTCGAGGGCCCTCCACCCCAAAAAACCAAAAATGTTTACGGGATACTAATCCCGGGAAAAAAAAAATCCCCCCCCCCCCAAAGTACCCCCAATACCCCCAGTCCGTGACATTTTTTTTTGGGAAAATAACGGGGTTTCAAAAAACCGCAAGAAAAAAAAAAATACCTTTCATCCAGGGTTTGGGGTTGCAGAGGAAAATTGCAATGTTCGCGGTTTTTTACAGGGACCCACATAAAAGGATCCCTTGGACAACAAAAAATAGGGGTCCGGGGTTACTACCTATACAGATGCGCATTTAAAAAGGGCAAAAAGGGGGGGGGTTTAAAGGGTAAAACACAGAGTCACTTGTTTGCAAGAACTGCTTAATCCCTTTTAAATGATGTAGGGGAAAATTTTTTAGCAGAAAGTTTGAAAACCAAAATGGGTCTTTGTGGTGTCTACAACCCCCGGGATGCAACGTCCGAAATTCCAGGAACGCTGAAAAAAAAATTTGGGACCACTGTTGGAAAATTCCCAGCTCCTGCCCCCCAACTCTTGCCCCTTTGGGGATTTCAATTAAAAGGCACCAAAAATGGAGGAATAAAAGGGAAAATAATGTTGCAGTGATAACTCCAGGAGGCACCCTTTACGAGAATTACACCAAACGAGCCTTTAAATTTCTGCACAAAATTCAACCTTCCCCCCCCCAAAAAGAGCCTACTAGATGGAGAAAACATAGACCTCATCTTCACTAACAATGATGATTGATAAGAAATGTCACAATATCAAAAAAAATTTTACTCAGTCACAACATTTAAACGAGGTTCAGACATTTTATGCGCAGAGCTCCAGACCAACATTGTTTTTAGTCATTTAGGGGG